GACACACCATTGCCCCGACCGAGGAACCAGACAACGTCATAGATGTCATCCATGTATGTCCCCTGGATCGCCCCACGTCCAAGGAACTCGAGTCCGACCTCAAGAGGGTAGCTTTTACAAGGAAGGTAGCCGAGGATGATGGAGGGCCACCCAGTAAAAGGGCCAGGACTGGTGAGCCAAGCATCACGTTCTCGGACGCGGACTTGACAGGCGTAGTGACTCCACATAACGACGCTCTTGTCTTGACCCTGAAGATAGGAAAATTCGACGCCAAAAGGGTGTTGATAGACTCTGGAAGTTCCTCGGAAGTGATGTACTCCGAGACTNAACAAACAATATAATTCTACAACAAAAGGTGAAGCTGCCAAAAGCTCAGACTCTAAGATACAATGGATGACAAAGAAAGAGTGACCGCCATCTGTTACTTGCTGTAGATAGATATGTTTAATCAAGATTTCTCACTACACTTTGTATCTAGATACGGTAGATACGGTCATTCTATTCAAGTAGGAAAGTCAAGTGGATCTTGATATAGATCTAGATCCAAAATGAGTGGTACAGCAGATAAAGAATCAGAAGCCCAGAAAAGCATGGCGCAAAGGCAGATAAGTCCATCAAGAATAGTTGAAATTGATAGTCGTTGGACTCATTTAAATAATCAGATGATATCAATTGCAAAGATTTCAACCCAGAGATACACATCACTGGCAAACTCCTCTGTTAGATGGCAGTATAATGTACCATGTAAAACAAGTAGTCTAAATGTTCCTAGTGTGATAGAGCTATTACAGGAGGACATCAGTTGACAATTGACAACTCCATAGCGCAGATAAGAAGCTAACAGGTTGTTTTCAAAACAAGTGTATCTTTGGTTGAAGTCTCACTCGCACAATGCTATATTCTTCACTTTGATAAATTTGTTTCACCAGCACATCCAAAATAATGGCATTTTTTCCAGAGAATACATCATGCCATTTGCAATGAAGTAAAAATGAAGACATGAAAAACATTAGCATCACTAAAAATGGACCAATCCACACAGCACCAGGCTCAATCAAAGAGCCCTAGTGAAAAATGGCTTAGTTGCAATGATATCAAACGGACTAAAATTAGTAAAGTTCAAAGCAAAAATCAGAAGTTGGATCAAACAATCAATGATGAACTATCAATTCATGATAAAAACTGCATATGATTGAATAAGCTCAGTGCAAACGATAATATAGACAGTTGCTGAGGTTTGGTCTTACATATAACATATCATGTTGAGAGGCAACAGAACAAATACCTGCCACGGTCTCTCCCAATCGAGCGGCATGGGCCAAGCCCCGAACCAAGCTCCAATAACAGCTCCATGTGCAGGTAGACAGATCATATAATCTATACATCCAATTGGCCTGTGAGTGAAAAATGAGAATTAATATACCAGTATAATAGACCAAAGGGATGGTGAGTGCACAACAGCATGTACTCGTAAAGAAACCAAAAAGGAGAAATATAATTTCAAAACTACACTAAATAATCAGGAAAAGAAAAAGGAAGTTACAAAACCATAATCAATGCAGTGTGGCAGAACACACAGACAAACTATGTAATCGATTGCAAAACCTTACTTCGTGTGTGCGAATATTCGTTGCCAATCAATCCATGACGAACCAAAAATGGAAGCTGCAGGTACAAACTGCCAAAACAAAAGAAATTACCAATATCAACGTATGCAACACATAAATGGGCAATATGAGACAACAGCCAAACTCAACTTATATTTACCATTATAATTGACATAGATAAGGACATGTCAAGTTAAAGTAAATATGGTGTTGAGGCAATTCCAGGCCTAGTATTTTGCTCAGCACATGATGACATAAATTTCAGCACAAAGCTAGCTAGTTCACCACTAAAATATCTTTCTTGTCATATTCAAAAGTTGGAAGACCTTACTCTTAGCCATTGGAATTTCAAAATTGGAATGCAAGATAGAACGTGCAACTAAATCTTTTGATGTTAAACCCTCCTTACTTCAGTAAGTAATTTAAAAATTAGAAAGATGTTGCAAGAGAGAAAGTGAATGGACACTCACAGTGAACACTGACATCAGAAGAGACCAGTCGAGGGTCTTTCGAAAGTAGCTGTTCAATAAGAAAGGATTAAAATCAGTAAATGATTATCAAATACAATTACTAACAAGTATGAAGGTCATTGTTGTCAAAGCTGTGGTCAAACTAAAACGAGGGTATATTTAAATATGTCTTTGTTTTCATATTTTGAGAAAACAAATCATGGTTGAGGTTGGACTTTGGAGTACTAAATGGATCTTAATTATGGATATCCTAGATGAAAATACAGCCAATGTGAAGTACTCAGTAATTTGCTTAGTTAACAGCCAACATTCGTGTGTGTTATCTGTGAACCCTGAATTACAAATTATAAGTCCTTTTCACTATAATTTTATAAAATGGAATGGATCATACCCATTTTTGTCCAACCTCAACTATGGCTTCAGTTTTCACAATCAAGATATTAGTAGAGAAACGCTTCTATTGAACCCCTTAGTCACATACTGAATGTGCACAGGTGCCCCCAAAACAATAGCTCCGAACGCGTTCATGACAGCCCCTAAAATTTAAATATACAACAAATCATGATAAGAACTCATTTATAAAAAGGAAAAAGAATAGCGAGAGAAGATTATACCAAGAAATAATTTCTGATGAATATTATAGGCAAAGGTTACATTTCTCGACTATGTCAAGGGACCTCATATCATAAAGGTAATNACATACAACAAATCATGATAAGAACTCACAAAGATAAAAAGGAAAAAGAATAGTGAGAGAAGATTATACCAAGAAATAATTTCTGATGAATATTTTAGGCAAAGGTTACATTTCTCGACTATGTCAAGGGACCTCATATCATAAAGGTAATCTAGATGTGTTATGTAATAAAACATTTCTAAGTCAGTCTAAAGCATGATAATAATTTCTCAAACATAATGGGGGTCGATAATTTAGGCTTGGAAAACCAGATAATGAAAAAAGGTCATGTGTTTGAAATAGAAGGATCCACAATTGTCGCCACAGATTGGACACAAATTTTACATAACATGTAAATTTTAATATTCTACTTCAAAAACATTTTCCTGAAGGNACGGTCATGTGTTTGAAATAGAAGGATCCACAATTGTCGCCACAGATTGGACACGAATTTTACATAACATGTAAATTTTAATATTCTACTTCAAAAACATTTTCCTGAAGGCATTTTTATGGCCAAGATAACCAATTCTATGGGGACTTCATCTAACCAAAATTTGGGAAACTTGAAACTCACTTCCGTATATATTTGGCTTTATTATTCTCTTTCTTTTGGTTATCTTCTTTCCCAATAAATATATCTATTCAATAATCAGGCCTCAAGGCACAGACCCACACAGCAAAACATAAGAGCCTGACTACATTTTTTTCCTAACTCCAATCTATTCCCTTAAAATATGTTTTCCTTTACCCCAGAATCTCTTTATCCGTGTCTATGCAAGTGCATATGAGCTTGTTCTCGCCAACCCATGAAAATGGATAATTGGTCGATGGATATAATATTTTGCGATTTCTTTCTAAACCCATGCACCCATAAACGAATAGGTTGTTTCACACACACAACAATAATATATAGAATAATAAGCATAACTAACCAGCAGGAAGCCCCAACAAACCTCGGCCAACAGCCTTCAAGTACTGTCAATTCACATGAAAGCCCCAAATTATTACACACAATCAATAATAAATGAAATCCCATAAACGGGCGAGAACGAGCTAACTATGAACTAACCGAGCATTCATTTGGATTCTGTCGGAAAAGACTGTAAAAAAGGATCACAATTAACGCCTCAACCAACTGAAATTCAAAATTCAAATTCATACTCAGAGACAGATACATAATAGATTCAACGAAAAGGTAAAATAAATAACCAAATAGATCTCATTTATACGGATGATGATGCTAGTACCCAAATCAGACGGAGTGTTTGAGAGGGATCGGAGATGAGACTAATGGAGTAAACGTTGTGGGCAACCCAGAATGCTGATGCTAACCCTAGTCCGCATATCACATGCAACATGAATGCTTGTAATTGTGATGCTGATGCAGATGACACGGTGCCGTTTATCTTTCTCAAAGCTTTCGTGTGCTTCTTCTTCTTCGCCGCCATGTTCCTATCTCTCTCTGTCTCGTAACGCAGTCCAGCTTGCTTGTATGTCTTGGTCAATCGAATCCGAATAAAAAATCCGATTGCATAACCGAACCATGAATAACCGGAGACCCGCTCCAATAATCCAATGGATTTGAATTGATTATATTTTAACCTAGTTTCACGAATCGATTCTTTTATTTTTTTTTTATCTCGGACGAATCAATCCTCAGATTACACGAAATTCAGTTCAATCTCATCTCAATTATATTGGTAATCCAACAATTTCACAAATTTATTCAGCCGAAGCCATAATTTTTCTTATCCAAACTCGAGCAGATGCAGATTCCAATTGAATCCCCAATTAGGGTTTTCATTGCCGACGAATTTCTGCACACTTCTCCGATGATTTCCACTTGGAACATGAAGAAACGCGTGAAAGAGGAAAAATGGCATAGTACAGAGAGAGAGCCTGGGATGGATTCCCGGCGAACGGAGGAGGTGTGGCAAACCATTTCATCAGGTTCGGATCGATTCGGGTAATGTTGGTATCCATTTTTGATTTAAGAGTTCTAAACCGACTCCGAGACTGAAGCATATGGTCTGTGGGGCCTGCTAGGAGGTTCTAACTTCAAACTTTAAAATGAGGAATTATAGTTTCACCCCCATAAAGGTTTTAAAATAGCTATTTTTGTCCAAACTCTAATGAGANGGGGTTCTAACTTCAAACTTTAAAATGGGGAATTAGAGTTTCACCCCCATAAAGGTTTTAAAATAGCTATTTTTGTCCAAACTCTAATGAGATTGCCAAATTTCGACTCGAGTAACCTCCATAATAAAATTTGTCAATCTGATTCTGACACGAACACATATAACACGAATAAAACCCCATTTAAGTTTCAGTAATCTTATGTTTGCCAAGTTTTTCATCCTAACTAATGTGACATACTTTCCATCATTAAATATTAATGTGACTATTTGGGTTCGGTTCCGATATAACTTAATTCGGACTCGACTCGTGTTTTAAACGAGTCAAACTTAAACAATTGTTTAGGCTCATTCATAAAACGAGCCTAAAAAAGTTCGGCTTAAAATCGTAAAGTTTAACTCGTTTATATGTAAAATAATCGAACTACTCGGATTCGACTCGTTTTAGGATCAGTTCAAGTTCGACTCATTTTTTAAACGAGTTAAATTTAAATAATTTTTTGTAACAGGTTCGGTGTGAGCTCAGCCCCAGCGAAAAGGAAAGCCACTTGATTTATTGATCGCACCAACACATACACATTTTTATGTTTAACTTCAAATTGGAAGAGTTCAAAAGTAATGAACTCGAAATGAAATTGCATCATACCATAAAAAAAGTTTACAACTATATATATTTTTTAGCTGATGAAAGAGTCCACAACGCTGATCCATTAGTATTGCAGCTTAACTAAGATGAGGCTAAGTAGGGATTTGGGGGTGGCTTTTGAGGTATCATCACTACTCCATTAATACTTGATAATGGGTGGGTAGGTGTCTCTGGCTTCGGAGCTGGTGGTGGTGACGCCCCCGGTCTGGCTATGATACCTTTGCATTCACTTCCGGTATCACAAGAAACGCTCGTGATCGGACTCATGGGACACGATGACCTTGAAATAGGAGTAGAAGTTTGAATCCGTCCGCAATGGGTCATGGTGATCATGATCATGAACCACCTCTTACACAGAATCTCCCTGTGGATTGGCAGTGATTTTGGTGGTGATGGTGCGGCGGCTTTGTAATCTGTCATGATCAGCATGAGAACATTGCCTGAACTATCTGTAGCAGCAGAAGAGGAAGCACTTAAAATCTGTTTTGTTGGCTGTGCAGGTAGAGATGGTGGGCTTGACGTTGACGCCCTCCCATAATTGAACTTGGTCTTGAATTTCTGATCTGGTTCTGCAACGCAACACAGGAATGATGATGAAATAGATGGACAAGTGATATATACTTCAGTATAAACAAACACCCATTTGCTGAAAGATTGAACAAAGTAATTAACAAGCCAGAATATTGGTATGTTAGTACTTGATTTACTCTCAATTCATCACATAAATGATACAGGACGGGCCTTGGTACCCTGATAACATTAGCGCTGCTTGGGACTATGTGCGTCACAAAAATAGTCTCTATCTAAGGTAAGGTAAGGCTGTCTATAGTTGACCCAAAAATCTCGTGTACTGTGCAGATTTTGTTAGAGTCAATTCAGAGTCAAAAGTTTGCAAGCTCAGGTTGGTTTTGCACTAGCTAGTTAGTGAACAAGTTTGAAAGCACCAACAAGCAAGTACAAGCATGTTAGAGGGTTAGGACATTACCTGCAGGTAAAGTTCTTTCTTGAGTTCCTAGAAAAGCAAAGAGAAAGAAGAGAGAGAATGCTCTTACTAAATGAAACTCCATGTTTCTATGCATTCAATACTATGAATACATACACAGTCCAATCCTACCCTCTATTTAAGGGCATCAAAAGGAGTTAAGGTAGGTAAAAAGTTGAGACCAAATCAACCACATTAAAAATGTTATATTACTTGTTTTCTGCATTTTTAATTGATACCCAACAATCTAGCTAGTCTGAAAGCAAGTATTGTAGTTGTGAGAAAGTGACCTAATGGTCCAGAAAAACACTAAAGAAGAAGACCCATTTTAGTTCGTTGTTTTGTTCAGTAATCCGAGTAGCACTGGTACTCGGTCCTCTCTCTCTCTCTCTCTCTGGTTTTTTGGGAAAAATTATACTTAAATCCTCTAAAATTTATCACTTAATTACTTAGAACCCTAACATTTGAAATATTACGCTCCTGAGATTTGTACGGGCATAAAAATTAAACTACTTGTTAATATCCATTAGTATGTCCATTAATAAATTACACATATACCTCCTAAAGATTGTAGGCGTGTAATATTTAGACTTCTCAAATTTAAAATATTATATTTAGACCCTTTATTAGTTACGAAACTAATAAAATCTATTAAATAACCAAATTACCCCAATTAAAGATATAACATATTGTGTTTATTATAATTTGACCCATTGTTTGATTTTTTTTTTGTTTTATACTAATAGACAGAGTATACATGTATATAAATGAGTGTTGTATTGAATTCTTTAATATATTTTTACTAATTACTATTTTTTTCTCAAAAAATTGAGATTTTATTTGGTTTTTATGTCAATAGATGATATAATAAAATATGCAAATGTGTTGATTATGCTTATTTCATATGTTCGTACTTGATGATAGAAAAACTGACCTAAAATAAAAAAATCCATTTAGTTCAAGTCCAACTTGACGTGGAGGTCGACCTTATTTTGGCATCAACAGTATTAATTATAATTTTTTTAAAAATAAATTTTTATGTTTAATTTTATTTCAATAAATGACATAATAGAACATAAATTTCGATTGTAAAATTTAAAATATTTGATATTCTGTCTTTAATTAGAGTATTTTTGTTTTTGTAGAAGAGTAATATTTTAAATTTGATGGGTCTAAATATTATATATTTCAAATTTTAGGGATTTGAATATCATTTACTAACAGATTTTTAACGGTAGAGTTTATGTGTTTACGGGTATACAAATTTCGAAAATTTGTGTATAATATTTTAAATATTAAGGAATTTAGGTAATTAAACAACAAACTTTAAATATTTTGGACATAATTTTTCCTCCTGTCGATTTAAAAAATGGAGTTCCTTTTGAAATGGTCTACGACATCAAGGCGTGTTGACGTATGAAAAACCAACAAGTTTTAGATTCTCAGAACTTACCATCAGTGGTTCGGTATCCCTGAATTAACATATGATAATACCATAATCTGTGGATCATTCTCCGCNTCCATCTAAATTAATCCCACGTGAAAAATGTAATTTGATACCATGTTATAGTGGAATTACACTAATGTTAACTGTACTGTGGATCGATTCACATTAAAATTTGAGAGCAACCTCGTATATATCCTAGTGGGGATGTCCCATGGCACACTAAATATGGAAATTAAAGGAGCACTATGTTGAATCTACATAAAGAATGTAATTATTATTATTATTGAAGAATGAGATCCCATGAAAGAATCTGTGTACCAAATTTTTATAGAAAATGACATGTAAATTTCGTGCGCTGACATCGGAGTAAGATGTGTATTTGGTTTAAGTCCAAGGATTAACATATGATAATACCATAATCAGTGGATCATTCTCCGCTGATCATAACCCGAGCCGACCTTGAACAGCCAAACTATAAGTCTGGATCTAAGATAGTAAATGAACAATTCGATTCCTTTCCTAGCATAATTGAAGCTTGACGTCTTCTATTACAGTTCGGCCATGTACACCACTCGAGCTGCCCTCCTCTCATGTCCTATAACCTTCTCAATGGGAAAGACCCCCTGAGCTGACAAGCATCGACCAGTCACCTTGGTAGATGACTTTTGAAAGGTTGGCACTCCAAGATTACACATCACCACTCTTAGAAGGACACCTCGAATGATGTCAAAGATATGTTAACAACAAAATATTTTCCTCATTATTCTAATACATTGAGGTGATCAAACAATCTGCAATAAAGATAAAAGTTAGTTCATGCATAAATAGGGGAATACGCCCCTACATAGAGGGAAAGATTGCCGACACTTGGCTGGGGGATTAGGAGGCATCTAAAAATATTACCGTTGCCACCTTCTTTTCTAAGCAATACAATCTAGAGAGTAAAATATTTCATTAGAGTAGACTAGCCAAACTCTTCAGCCTACTGAACCACCGTAATTTATATTCTAATTATCACCAATGCACTCATTTTTCTTGCAAACAAAAGGAACTCTTTAGCTCTTCACAATCAATCAACCAACCCAAACACACACGCATTCTTTCCCCACTCTAGTTCATCTCTAGAACTTTTCACTACCCCGCTAATCTCATAAATTTATTTTACGTTATCACCATATGTCAAATGAGAGCGAGATTAACTGCTACTTGTCTCTCTCATTCTCCATATAAACAGAGAGTCTTGTAGTACCACAAACTCGTGTGAATATTGTCCATTTTAGATTAAGACCGCACGACTTTAAGATTGTTTGTACAATAAAAATTTATTAAATTTAAAGTAATCAAACACCCTAGATTGGGTGAATATGACTTTTTTAATGTGTATTAAAAATGATCCACCACCTATTTTTTGAAATCAATATTATATGCATTAGTTGCCAAAATCAAGCTTTGCTATGGAGCAATGTTAATGGTGTGATCCATCTCCAACCTGAAAAGTAAACTAGGCTCTAGAGATGGGTCTTTTAGCAATTTTTTTTCTCTAATGTTGGTATGGAATCCATTATAATGTATTAAAAGGTTCTTCAATCTTTATCCTTTTTAAATTTAAATTTAAATTTGAGTAAAAAAAACTCTTAAAAACATTCTCTAATATTAAACTTATATATATATATATATATATATATATTAAATTAAGGGAGACTTAAATCCATACTCAANCTTTTTTAAATTTAAATTTAATTTGAGTAAAAAAAACTCTTAAAAACATTCTCTAATATTAAACTTATATATATATTAAATTAAGGGAGACTTAAATCCATACTCAAATTTTTAATAGTGAGCTTTTACCCTCCTTAAAAGATCCAATAACTATATTTTATCCTCTTTTAAATTTGATTTTGTTCTCATTTAAATTTGGATTTCTCTTCCCTTTAAATTTGAGTTTCTCTATTATAGATGTCTATATCAAATTAAGTTTTTTACTTTTTTTTAACTTAAATTTTAATATGAGTTTGGATTTTCATTAGAAATGATCTAGCAAGTTGAGTATCTAAATTATTTTTATGGGCCATGACATATTGGATATTATCATTCAAATTCATTAAGCAAGCGAAGGTGATAGTAGTTATAATAACAGTGGTGGTGTAATGGCAATGGTTGTGGTTTAATGGTGGTGGTTGCAGATATGTGGACAATTGGTGGTGTGGTTGTGGAGACAACGATGGTCAAATGTTAATAAAAATTTAAGTCATTGGATTTTAAACAACTATCTATTCTAAAAGTTGAAACTAAATTTTGGGCTTAACATTTGAAAATCTGTTTAATAATTATAGTAACAACGAGATTTAAACACAGGACATCCTACTCTGATACCCAGTTAAACAACCATCTATTCTAAAAATTTAAACTATTAAAAATAATATAACTTAAATATTTATACTTCCATTATTAGATATTAGGGGAAATTGGAAGGAAATACATCAAATTAGATTTAATTGTAAAAAAGTACATAGAAAAAAAAGGTTGGATAATTAAGTCCTTAATTTTGATGATTATTTGTATCTAATTACATTACTTGAATTTTATTAATTTTTTTGTGACATTTTTGCCCTCCATTAATCCATGTGTTTTTTTTTTGGAAAGTGGTGTATTAAACATCTCCTAGTTTTATGAGATAACTTTAATATATATATTTATACTTATATATACTAGTTGTTGTACACGTGCGTTGCACGTAGATAATTTTGAGTTATAATTCTTATATATAATTTATAAGGTTATATGTTTGACTAATTAAAAATAAAAATAAGAGTAAACCTAATGAAAATCTGAGAAAAAAATATTAAACATAAAACCAAGAAAGCTTGAAAAATCCTAAATGAATATTATACCTACCAACAGTCAAAAAATCTACGTCTCATATCTATCTATATTAGATATTATTTTGTTTGANAGTACTTGATTTACTCTCAATTCATCACATAAATGATACAGGACGGGCCTTGGTACACTGATAACATTAGCGCTGCTTGGGACTATGTGCGTCACAAAAATAGTCTCTATCTAAGGAAAGGTAAGGTAAGGCTGTCTATAGTTGACCCAAAAATCTCGTGTACTGTGCAGATTTTGTTAGAGTCAACACAGAGTCAAAAGTTTGCAAGCTCAGGTTGGTTTTGCACTAGCTATTTAGTGAACAAGTTTGAAAGCACCAACAAGCAAGTACAAGCATGTTAGAGGGTTGGGACATTACCTGCAGGTAAAGTTCTTTCTTGAGTTCCTAGAAAAGCAAAGAGAGAGAAGAGAGAGAATGCTCTTACTAAATGAAACTCCATGTTTCTATGCATTCAATACTATGAATACATACACAGTCCAATCCTACCCTCTATTTAAGGGCATCAAAAGGAGTTAAGGTAGGTAAAAAGTTGAGACCAAATCAACCACATTAAAAATGTTATATTACTTGTTTTCTGCATTTTTAATTGATACCCAACAATCTAGCTAGTCTGAAAGCAAGTATTGTAGTTGTGAGAAAGTGACCTAATGGTCCAGAAAAACACTAAAGAAGAAGACCCATTTTAGTTCGTTGTTTTGTTCAGTAATCCGAGTAGCACTGGTACTCGGTCCTCTCTCTCTCTCTCTCTCTNAGTTTTTCATCCTAACTAATGTGACATACTTTGCATCATTAAATATTAATGTGACTATTTGGGTTCGGTTCCGATATAACTTAATTCGGACTCGACTCGTGTTTTAAACGAGTCAAGTTTAAACAATTGTTTAGGCTCATTCATAAAACGAGCCTAAAAAAGTTCGGCTTAAACTCGTACAGTTTAGCTCGTTTGTATGTAAAATAATCGAACTACTCGGATTCGACTCGTTTTATGATTAGTTCAAGTTCGACTTATTTTTTAAACGAGTTAAATTTAAATAATTTTTTGTAACAGGTTCGGTGTGAGCTCAGCCCCAGTGAAAAGGAAAGCCACTTGATTTATTGATCGCACCAACACATACACATTTTTATGTTTAACTTCAAATTGGAAGAGTTCAAAAGTAATGAACTCGAAATGAAATTGCATCATACCATAAAAAAAGTTTACTACTATATATATTTTTTAGCTGATGAAAGAGTCCACAACGCTGATCCATTAGTATTGCAGCTTAACTAAGATGAGGCTAAGTAGGGATTTGGGGGTGGCTTTTGAGGTATCATCACTACTCCATTAATACTTGATAATGGGTGGGTAGGTGTCTCTGGCTTCGGAGCTGGTGGTGGTGACGCCCCCGGTCTGGCTATGATACCTTTGCATTCACTTCCGGTATCACAAGAAACGCTCGTGATCGGACTCATGGGACACGATGACCTTGAAATAGGAGTAGAAGTTTGAATCCGTCCGCAATGGGTCATGGTGATCATGATCATGAACCACCTCTTACACAGAATCTCCCTGTGGATTGGCAGTGATTTTGGTGGTGATGGTGCGGCGGCTTTGTAATCTGTCATGATCAGCATGAGAACATTGCCTGAACTATCTGTAGCAGCAGAAGAGGAAGCACTTAAAATCTGTTTTGTTGGCTGTGCAGGTAGAGATGGTGGGCTTGACGTTGACGCCCTCCCATAATTGAACTTGGTCTTGAATTTCTGATCTGGTTCTGCAACGCAACACAGGAATGATGATGAAATAGATGGACAAGTGATATATACTTCAGTATAAACAAACACCCATTTGCTGAAAGATTGAACAAAGTAATTAACAAGCCAGAATATTGGTATGTTAGTACTTGATTTACTCTCAATTCATCACATAAATGATACAGGACGGGCCTTGGTACCCTGATAACATTAGCGCTGCTTGGGACTATGTGCGTCACAAAAATAGTCTCTATCTAAGGTAAGGTAAGGCTGTCTATAGTTGACCCAAAAATCTCGTGTACTGTGCAGATTTTGTTAGAGTCAATTCAGAGTCAAAAGTTTGCAAGCTCAGGTTGGTTTTGCACTAGCTAGTTAGTGAACAAGTTTGAAAGCACCAACAAGCAAGTACAAGCATGTTAGAGGGTTAGGACATTACCTGCAGGTAAAGTTCTTTCTTGAGTTCCTAGAAAAGCAAAGAGAAAGAAGAGAGAGAATGCTCTTACTAAATGAAACTCCATGTTTCTATGCATTCAATACTATGAATACATACACAGTCCAATCCTACCCTCTATTTAAGGGCATCAAAAGGAGTTAAGGTAGGTAAAAAGTTGAGACCAAATCAACCACATTAAAAATGTTATATTACTTGTTTTCTGCATTTTTAATTGATACCCAACAATCTAGCTAGTCTGAAAGCAAGTATTGTAGTTGTGAGAAAGTGACCTAATGGTCCAGAAAAACACTAAAGAAGAAGACCCATTTTAGTTCGTTGTTTTGTTCAGTAATCCGAGTAGCACTGGTACTCGGTCCTCTCTCTCTCTCTCTCTCTGGTTTTTTGGGAAAAATTATACTTAAATCCTCTAAAATTTATCACTTAATTACTTAGAACCCTAACATTTGAAATATTACGCTCCTGAGATTTGTACGGGCATAANTGTTAACAACAAAATATTTTCCTCATTATTCTAATACATTGAGGTGATCAAACAATCTGCAATAAAGATAAAAGTTAGTTCATGCATAAATAGGGGAATACGCCCCAACATAGAGGGAAAGATTGCCGACACTTGGCTGGGGGATTAGGAGGCATCTAAAAATATTACCGTTGCCACCTTCTTTTCTAAGCAATACAATCTAGAGAGTAAAATATTTCATTAGAGTAGACTAGCCAAACTCTTCAGCCTACTGAACCACCGTAATTTATATTCTAATCATCACCAATGCACTCATTTTTCTTGCAAACAAAAGGAACTCTTTAGCTCTTCACAATCAATCAACCAACCCAAACACACACGCATTCTTTCCCCACTCTAGTTCATCTCTAGAACTTTTCACTACCCCGCTAATCTCATAAATTTATTTTACGTTATCACCATATGTCAAATGAGAGCGAGATTAACTGCTACTTGTCTCTCTCATTCTCCATATAAACAGAGAGTCTTGTAGTACCACAAACTCGTGTGAATATTGTCCATTTTAGATTAAGACCGCACGACTTTAAGATTGTTTGTACAATAAAAATTTATTAAATTTAAAGTAATCAAACACCCTAGATTGGGTGAATATGACTTTTTTAATGTGTATTAAAAATGATCCACCACCTATTTTTTGAAATCAATATTATATGCATTAGTTGCCAAAATCAAGCTTTGCTATGGAGCAATGTTAATGGTGTGATCCATCTCCAACCTGAAAAGTAAACTAGGCTCTAGAGATGGGTCTTTTAGCAATTTTTTTTCTCTAATGTTGGTATGGAATCCATTATAATGTATTAAAAGGTTCTTCAATCTTTATCCTTTTTAAATTTAAATTTAAATTTGAGTAAAAAAAACTCTTAAAAACATTCTCTAATATTAAACTTATATATATATATATATATATATATATTNATATCCCCACCTTCAAGATTTTTGGATAAGCAACAAAAATAAGCAAGGTTGTCAACAAATTCACTTTGTTCTTCTTAATTATAATCGAGTATATATAGCACCGGAGAGTCTAATTCACTTGCTCTTCACTCTCACCATACACTTTATCAGCAGAAAGTGAAGTATGCATCTGGTTAGTATGTTGAAAAAGTTGTCCTCTATAAGGACATCAAAATCCAAAAGCATTCCTTCNTCAAATTTTTAATAATGAGCTTTTACCCTCCTTAAAAGATCCAATGACTATATTTTATCCTCTTTTAAATTTGATTTTGTTCTCATTTAAATTTGGGTTTCTCTTCCCTTTAAATTTGAGTTTCTCTATTATAGATGTCTATATCAAATTAAGTTTTTTACTTTTTTTTAACTTAAATTTTAATATGAGTTTGGATTTTCATTAGAAATGATCTAGCAAGTTGAGTATCTAAATTATTTTTATGGGCCATGACATATTGGATATTATCATTCAAATTCATTAAGCAAGCGAAAGTGATGGTGTCGGATTGGGTAGTAGTTATAATAACAATGGTGGTGTAATGGCAATGGTTGTGGTTTAATGGTGGTGGTTGCAGATATGTGGACAATTGGTGGTGTGGTTGTGGAGACAACGATGGTCAAATGTTAATAAAAATTTAAGTCATTGGATTTTAAACAACTATCTATTCTAAAAGTTGAAACTAAATTTTGGGCTTAACATTTGAAAATCTGTTTAATAATTATAGTAACAACGAGATTTAAACACAGGACATCCTACTCTGATACCCAGTTAAACAACCATCTATTCTAAAAATTTAAACTATTAAAAATAATATAACTTAAATATTTATACATCCATTATTAGATATTAGGGGAAATTGGAAGGAAATACATCAAATTAGATTTAATTGTAAAAAAGTACATAGAAAAAAAAGGTTGGATAATTAAGTCCTTAATTTTGATGATTATTTGTATCTAATTACATTACTTGAATTTTATTAATTTTTTTGTGACATTTTTGCCCTCCATTAATCCATGTGTTTTTTTTTTGGAAAGTGGTGTATTAAACATCTCCTAGTTTTATGAGATAACTTTAATATATATATTTATACTTATATATACTAGTTGTTGTACACGTGCGTTGCACGTAGATAATTTTGAGTTATAATTCTTATATATAATTTATAAGGTTATATGTTTGACTAATTAAAAATAAAAATAAGAGTAAACCTAATGAAAATCTGAGAAAAAAATATTAAACATAAAACCAAGAAAGCTTGAAAAATCCTAAATGAATATTATACCTACCAACAGTCAAAAAATCTACGTCTCATATCTATCTATATTAGATATTATTTTGTTTGAGTTTGTATATGAAGGATCCACAGTGCATCCAACCACCAAATAAAAATTTTCATTCTCCTCACTCTTATAGAGAAAAAAATGAATGGATTGCTAAAAGTGTTGCCGATAACGTAGAGACATGAAACAGGTGGCGAAATAGCCACTCTTCGGCACTTAGTCAAACATCTCCAACCATTAGACTACCCACCTCTACTCATCCAGCCTTAATCTTCAATTCTGTCAACAGCCAAACAAAATACCCATAAAAAAATCAATAAGAAATAGCAAAAAGAATCCAGAAGCATACAACAATAACAAAAAGTGAACAAGAAGAACAAAGATCTATGAAGGAAGAATGAACAGCGAAATCCTCTTATTCAGTTCCTAATCTATAGATGCTTCCAACTGTCTGACCCCAATATAGTAAAAATAGCAATAATTCCCCGTAACCAAATAGTAAAATTCTCAGGAAAAAAAAAAAAAAGACCTATTCCATGTGATCATGTGAAAAGCCTTGTTCATTAGATATCCCCACCTTCAAGATTTTTGGATAAGCAACAAAAATAAGCAAGGTTGTCAACAAATTCACTTTGTTCTTCTTAATTATAATCGAGTATATATAGCACCGGAGAGTCTAATTCACTTGCTCTTCACTCTCACCATACACTTTATCAGCAGAAAGTGAAGTATGCATCTGGTTAGTATGTTGAAAAAGTTGTCCTCTATAAGGACATCAAAATCCAAAAGCATTCCTTCCTTCATGTGACTTAACTACGGGAAGTTAAGCAACTATAGGACAAACTTTCACAATACACACCCATACAGAAAATAAGGGAGGATGCCATAGTAAAAAGAATATACTATTGGATTAGGACCAGCAAGGATTAGTATGGGAAAGTTATAGTAAAACATTTTCGTTGTTCTCTAAGTAAAGGGTAGAAGGAGAATAATGAACATTCTCAATCACTCTAAGTCCACCATGACCTTACAAGTGCCACAATAGTAGGTCTAATGAAGAAGAAATACTAACATTATACTTAGTTACACAAGAACCCCCGCCAAAAAAAACGAAGGCACACCCTATATTGCATCAATAATACGTCAGGTGATTTGTCCATGTCTGCTCCTCTATATAGTATTATCAACACAAGAATAGAGGTAGAGAGGAAATTAGATATACCTTGTGCTGAGCCATAAGAGTGCATCACCATTATAGAAAATTCTCACTGCCACCACTTTTGATTGATTACAATCTCATATAATTATAGTCAAAATAGCTTAACAATCTAATTTTTTTTTTTTAATTCAAATTTGAGATTAAACATATACCTGTGATGGAAAAATAGATCGACAACTTTTATTCGCTTTGTATAAAAATTTAATTCAACATCTATACTGGGCAATTGGTGGAGCTTCCTTTTTCCTGCATTGCTTTCAAGAACAGAGGACTTCAATTCACCTCAGTCGGATAAGACAATCAAGCCCAAAAAAATTCAGATACATTTGTATAGAATACAGATGTAGGCACACTTGGTGGCTATTATGAGAAGAGTAAAAGAATTCACTACAAGCATGGTTGATTTGGACAAACCCTCATAGGTTTTAGAGGTTGAGGTTAGTTGTTATGTAAAAGAGTTTTAATCTAAGAAGACATTTACCCAAAAAGGAGGCCAAAATTATGAAACCAAAGCTCCTCCATCCCAAATAACTTGTGTTGTTATCATGCACCAGATCAAAATAAAACAAAAATGAATGAGAGAGAGAGAGAGAGAGAGAGGGTGCAGACCCACATAGCTTAACATTCTATTGGAGCGCTGAATAGAGTGGCTATGGTTTGCCTGTAGACCACAAGAAACCCACATAATAATGCTCAAAACTAACTTAAATCCAAAATTTTAACGTGTTATCTACACTGGAACCCCCTGCCATAATAAGATGATGAGTAAGTGAAAGAGGGGAGAGAAGGAGAACACGAAACCAAGAACAAAATAAGCAGGGGGTCGTTAAAGTTAACACTAAATAACTGAAATCAAATGCCAGAAACAAAGAAGAATTCACATGCCAAAACATAAAAAAAAAAAAAAAAAAAAATCACATTCCTAATCAGAATGACAATCAAACATATCTAATTCTTCCATTGGATGCGATTCCAAAACTCTCACACCATACTTTTTGAATTCTAGTCGATTCGCCGACTGTGAGAGCTAACTATTTCCGAGAGGGAGAAAGGTTTTAGGGGATATAGTAAAATGTAGTAGGTAGAGAGAGAATTGAAAGCTCGAGCAGTGAACGAAAGTAACGTGCATGCATATGAAGTGGCCAAAGACGACGATTCGGTGTGTCATTAAATTCAGAGGACAGCCAAGGCATACTTATAGTGTTAGAGGATAAAAATGGACAAATAATATTTTTCATGTATGTTGATATTTTAAAGTAGTATAAATATATATACTTGTTGTTAAATCTCTTATCTAAATTTTGAATTGTCTTTAATGCACCTTAATTAATTTTTTCTTTTTTTGTTTGAAAAGTAACTTTATTTTTAAATTAATTTAATATCTGAATTAGGGGTGCAACTTGGTTGAGTTGGACAATCAACCATAACTCAACTTTAGTTATATAATCTTCAACCTTAACCGTAACTCTAACCCTATCTCGGGTTGGGAAACTCAACCCGAGCACTGCCTGAGTTTAATGCACTGCCTGATTTTAGGTTGATTTCGAATTATTTTACGGGTTCAATTCGGGTAGAGCCCAAAATAGACTTATTGTTTTAAACCTAATACATATATTATATAATATTCATCTAAATTAACAACCAATAACTTCAACTAAGTTTTTAACAGTGTTAATGTTGGAACAAAAATGAAAATGAACGAGAGAGATAGAGAACAATAGAACAAAAATAAAAAATCAATGCTAATGATTTATATATATATATATATATATTTTTTTTTTAAGTTGTCGGGTTTGGGTTGAACTTGTGAACCCGAGGCCAACCCAAATTAAATTTGGGTTGGGGTGTTTTGACCAAAGTCCAACCCAAATATTAAAAACTCTTGTCCAAGCCCTAATTTTTTAGAGTTAGAATCTGGTTGAAATCGGGTTACCCAACCCAAGTTGCACCCCTAATCTGAATAGTGTAACAAGCTATGTACACAAAATATTGTATTACTAGTCATAACTCGTGCCTGAAGGCATAATAAAATATAAAATTCAAGTGTTCAAAAAATAGATCCCATTATATTAAATTTTTTCAAAATATATTAATTGTAAATTAATTAAATAATAAATAATTAAATATATGATAGAAATGAGTAGTGTAATATTTTTAGAGAGAAAATATTTAAATGATTAAATATGTGATAGAAATGAGTGATATGATTTGACGTTTGAGTCTGAAAAAAGGATGATGGGTGAGGTAAGTGATTGATGATAATTTTGAGGAGAAAAATACGACTGGGATAAAATTCAAACACACTCCTGTTTTATTATATAAATTACATTTTGTCAAACATATAGTTTCATATAATTTCATTTAAAATAGTTCATCTTCGTTTTGAATTTGTTATCACGTGCACAAACTACTGAACACTGTTATTGTTACAGTGTATTTGTTACACTGTTATACTGTTATTGTTACACTATTACACTATTTGTGTATTAAATAAATTAATTTAAAAATAAAACCACTTTCAAAAAAAAAACTCATAAATCAAGGTACATTAAATATAATTTGAAAACAAAATCACTTTCCAAAAAAAAAAATACGCATGAATCAAAGTGCATTAAAGATAATTCAAAATTTAGATAAGAGATTTAACAATAAGTATATATATAGTATATAAGTGATTTAATAACAAATATATATATATATAACAAATTGAGTTTGGGTTTCCATTAGAAATGATCTAACAAGTTGAGTATCTAAATTATTTTTCTGGGTCATAGCATATTGGATATTATCATTCAAATTCATTAAGCGAGTGAAGGTAATGGTGTCGAATTGGGTAGTAGTTATAATAACAGTGGTGGTGCAATGACAATGGTTGTAGTTTGATGGCGGTGGTTGCAAATATGTGGACAATTGGTGGTGGTTGTGGAAACAACGATGGTCAGATGTTAATAAAAATTTAAGCCGTTGGATTTTAAATAACTATCTATTCTAAAAGTTTAAATTAAATTTTGGGCTTAACATCTAGAAATCTGTTTAATAATTATAGTAACAACAAGATTTAAACACAGGATATCCTACTCTGATACCCAGTTAAACAACCATCTACTTTAAAAATTTAAACCATTAAAAATAATATAACTTAAATATTCTATACTTCCATTATTAGATATTAATGAGTCGGGCTGTGGACTACTTGCATGGGCCTTAAATGGGTTAGCTTATCGGCCGATTTAGGAAAAACCCTAAGTCTGGTTAATGGACTAGCAGTAGGCCTCCATGTGACGGTTCGGACCAGCCCATGAGTCACTATAAATATTTAATGCATTGATGATATTATGTTAATATTGTTATATGATATTATTATTTAATAATATATTAATAAATAAGTAATAATTACTGTTTTATGTAATATAATAACTACCATTTATATCATTTTTTTTCTCAATTCATTCAATTTAATATTACATTATCCAAGTTATATCAATAAGGAACCCATTTATACACAAAAAAATTAATTAATTTTAAAATTACAAAAACACGATCATGTGGCGGTGTGGATCTGGATATTAATATAAAATTAATATGCAATTAATAACTTAAATTTTGTTCGAACGAGACAACTCATTAGATTCGAATAAATAAGTTAGACTTGAGCGTGCCTAAACGCAATCTGTACATAACACACTTATATGAACTTAGTTATACATGAATTATAAATAAGGTAAATGCAAATTATTTAAATTTGACACAATGCGAGTGTGATACAACCCGACCCGACCCATTGTCCCTTGTGATCCGTCAAATGTTTTAATATCTTACCGTTATTCCGTTAATTTTAACCTTAAACCAGACTGGCTGACTTCCCTCAAGAAAACGCGACGCCTTTCCTTGCTAAAACACCTAAATTCGGAAACCGCCGAGAAACACAACCCCCGTAGCCCATGTTTTAACCGAAATTTGGTCATCTCCTTTTCTCCTTCAAAAACCTAGCACTTGTGATTTGGTTGGTTTTATGTATAGATATTCTCAGAAGCCCTAGTAGTCCCCAAAAATAACTTAAGACTTGCGTCTCCTTATCTCTCTTCATTACCTATACGTGGGTGCAAAGTAATCAAACCTAGCTTCAAGAATCGATTGAAAATACCTGAAAAACTCATATTGGTGGAAGAAAGTGGAGAGTTTGTTAGGCGTTGAAAGGATGGAGAGAATGAAAGATAATGAGCTTCAACATAAGGTTGAGAAGAAGAGTATGAATCATCTTGGAGATGGAGTGGTGTGGCGTAAAGGTGCAATGATTGGAAAAGGAAGTTTTGGGTCGGTTTATTTGGCAAATTTGAAGAAACACAGATCGCGATGTGGCTATTTCCCATCAGTTATGGCTATGAAATCTGCTGAGGTCTCTGTCTCGGGTACGATTCAGAAGGAGAGGGAGGTTTTGAATAATGTGAGAGGTTGTTCTGATGTGCTTCGATGCTATGGTGATGAAACTACTACAGGTGAGAATGGTGAGATGGTGTATAACTTGTTGTTGGAGTATGGTTCTGGAGGAACCCTAGCTGACATGATTAAGAAATTGGGTGGCAACGGATTGCCTGAATCCGATGTCCGTCGATACGCAAGGTGTATTCTTAGAGGGTTGAGTCATATTCATGGGTGTGGTTATATCCATTGTGATTTAAAACCTGATAATATTTTGCTTACTTCCGACTTGAAGGCGAAGATTGGTGATTTTGGGTTGGCAAAAAGGGCTGGTGGGAGCAAGAAGAGGAAATTGGAGCCATATTGGAGAGGCACTCCGTTGTATTTGTCTCCTGAAGCAGTGGTTGACAATGTGCAAGAGCCTCCATCTGATATTTGGGCTCTCGGTTGTATTGTGCTTGAGATGTTAACTGGGAAACATGCGTGGAATGGAGAACAAGAGTTGAACGTTGAGAATATTCTTAAAAAAATTGGGAATGGGCACGAATTAACTAAAATTCCATTGGAGATATCGAGAGAGGGAAGAGATTTCCTGAAGGGTTGTTTTGTGAGAAAGGAGATGTTCAGATTTACTGCTGAAATGTTGTTGAATCACCCATTTATGGAAGGTATAGTTGATGTTGATGACATAGAAGATTTAGAGGAGGTTGCAGATGTAAATGAGGACAGCTCCTTATTGATACTGTCCATGGCTGATGATGGACTCGACTCTTCATCTTTTTCGGATGATTGCAGCTTCTTTTCTGAAGAGGAGTCCTTTTCTTATTGGTCCGAAAATGAAGAGGGGCCTGATAATCAAGAGGTTTGTAGTTTTTCTGAAGATGGATTTGGAGAAGAAGAAAGTAGGGGTGTTACTTTTGAGTTCAGTTAATGCCGCAATAGATCATGTAATTAAGGTATCACCTCAGGTTTTATCAGAAATTCCATTAGACACAAGTCACACAACACAACAGTGCCCCATTTCTTTTACCATTCCTGCGGGAGTCTAGAAACTTAAATGGTTAGATATTGAATCAAAATATGTTTATCCCTCTTTTGGGATGATTTACTGGACAAACATTCATTGTACAGATTACTTAATTTTTCAATGACATTCATTTTTTTACATCATGGTTGTTAAATTCTGCTAATTGCACTTTTTATTATACATACTGCATAAATTGCTAGAAATACTATTAACCACAGAATTTAATGAGCGGTGCCAAAAATTTCTATACATTGCTTGTTTCACCTGTTTCGCAGTAAGAGTGCCTACGGTACCAGTTCATTTTTGGTCATCCGAAGCTCATGCAGAGTCACTTTTGGCATAAAATTTGTGATTGCAAAGGCAACTTAGTTCACATTAACATAAATTCTGGCAGAACACAGCAGCAGATGTCCACACTTGCAGTCATTCCGGCGGTTCAGTGAGGGATATTTTTGAAGTAGTCGCAGGATATATGCTTTTACTTTTACCATAGATTAAACTTTACTTGAATGTTTTCAATTTTAATTTTCTGAATTTGGTAGTTAAAGTCATTTTTGATGTCATCTTCTGATTTCTTAGCAGTTGTATTATATGTCAGCATAGTTGGATCCAAGATACTGGTTACTTACTCAATTTTCTTGGATTTTGTGGCCTTGCTTTTATTTTTTATAAATGGGCATCGAGTACCCTTTTTTATTCTTTTTGTATTTTGTTTTTTAGTCGTGCTATCGGAGCACTTACATTGCAGATAATACAACCGATGTTCTGAATTTGTATTTCGGCTCAATGTCTATCTCTATATTTAGTTTTTTTTTGCTGAATTCATCATACATCAGTATTCCACAGATGGGGCAAACAAAAATGTTTCCTTTTTTCCACAGTGAATGCAGGAGATGATCATTAGCATCTTGTTAAATTCTTCTTACAGTATATTGTGTTATGATCTAGTCAGCCTAATAAAGAATTGGTGATACAGTGACTACAAGAGTGGTCGCTGCTCTCGCTAGGCAAGTCTGATTATTCCTCACATATGCGTTACGGAGGAGTAGTTGTGCATAACCTGGTCCTATCTCTTCTGCTATATATTATGATCTCCTTGTGCCCTCTGTAGTTACAATTTCTAGTTTCTGATTATGCTTGTCAGATGTTTTCTTAAGGTTTACGATATTTCATTCCTATTTACAGTAGGAGTATTTTTATTGCTGGTATAAATATTTGGTTATACCGCAGATTTATTTTTAGTTATATATATGAAATATGGGCATGAAGGATCTTGATTTGGAAAAAGGAATTGATTTCATCTCTCGCATTGTGATTATTTACAACAGGTATCATTCCTCTCATATATGTTTGAGGAGTAGTGGCAGTTTAATCTATTCCTGTTTATTGGTTTATGCCACCACTTCTGTGCATGGCTAAGTTTAGTTGAAATATCGTGATTTTTGGTTATGCTTATGTGATTCTGTTTCCCATTCATAGTGTCGTGACATCGACTTTATATGGATACCACTTCCTGTCAATAAAGTATAGCCCCAGTTCAATTTTTCTTTGTTATTTCTTGGTTAATCACCTGCTGATGGCAGGGTAACCCAAGGACAGAGTTCAGATTACGTTTGAATGATTTTAATTCTTACGATTGTTTCTTGAAGGCATCACATAAATACGTGCATCTGCATTGAATTTTGTAGTCAGCTGAGTGTATCACTCAGAGAAGCATTGAAGGAATTTACAATTGGCCATCAGAATTCATGGATGGACCAGGCTCCCAGATCAAATTATAGCAATTCCAAATGAATTGTAGGAGCTATGCGTATCAGGAGGCTGTTATGTGGGTGAATAATGGGTCCTGCTCAATTGACATTTTTGTGGTATGATTGCAAATCTTCTTTTCTGTCTCCATGGGTCATGGCTCTGGCAAGTACTAAGCCTGAAACAAAATTTTTTTTTTTCGGAAAACATGAAACCAAAAGTTAATTCTTTGCATATGGGTACTTTTTAAGACAGTGAAATCACCAATGATTGCTTATTTTTAACAAAAAAAAAAAAGTTCACTTGATCAAAATGTCTTTAATTTTGTAGTGGCTCACTTCCAAGCAGTAGAACAAAACATGGTTGTTATACCCAAATACCATGTTTTTGTAAGAGAATGACAGATTGCATATTACTTGTGAAAGTTTAGGATGCTACCCTATGAAATGTAGTAATAACGCCAAGTTTAGCAGCATAAAATATGCCAAATTTTGGCTTTGTGAGGCTATAGCAACACACGCTTTAACCATGGGAACCAAAATACTTAGTAGTTCTATCTCCGAGAGGTTAAAATGTTGAAGTTTACAGAGAAAATTCTTCCATTTTATGGGAAGATAGAAATGCACAACCACGAGACAAATGCCACAATTTGAATTTAGAAGCCAACAAGCTGGTAGTTTGTAAGAGAAGTTGCATTTTTTATGGGAGGAGACAAAGCAATGCATTTTAAGGTAAATTGTAGAAGTGTCAGGATGTTGCAGTTTTACTACTTTTCGGTAGGTGATGATGGTCACTGTAAGAATACTAGTCCTTTTTTCTTGCTTTGGTCTTTATTGCTCACGCTTATACCATTGGTTCAAATGAGTGTTCGTGAAGGGCTTAGGGAATGAGATTAATCTTTTTTCTAGCTTACCTGCGATACTCTAGGTTTGAGTGGAGGAATGCCACGAGTAGGTGAGAGTACAATGATGCATTCTGCTAATAAGATTATGTGAATTGCCACCTGACTATACGATCTCCTATCCATTTTTAGGCAATTACAGAACCTCTATGTATGCTATTGACTCAACATCCAACCTTGTGCATTTCTGCAGTCAAGGCGATCCAATTCAAATTGGGGGCTTAAAGAAAGAATTTTAATTGAGACCATGATTAATATTTTAGAAAGATAATAAAAATATTTTATGATTATTAGACATTTTATAGAGAATTTCAGTGCAATTTAGTTTCAATGTTTTAGTATTTTAGGATCGGATAGGACTAGACAATCAATTAGGTTCAATTATGAAGTCATGATCCTATACGTGAATAAATTGATTGGAGTTTTAAAAAAGAGAACAAAAGGGTTAGAGAATAAAGAGAGAGCAAAGAGTGAGAGATGAGGACAAAGAGAGAGCAAGACAATTAGTGTGGGAGGGAGCTAAAGATTTGGAGAGAGACGATGAGAGTGGAGAAAAAGAGTGTAAAAGGAATTTGAGAAAGAGTGGTAGTTATAAAACTAGAAGTCGTTATTTTTAGATTTTTTTAGAAGATTTTGTTATATTTTAGAGTTTTCTATAAAGTTTTACATTATACTTGTAAAAATATTGTTATATTTTAGGGTTTTATATAAGATTTTACCTAGACTTGGGATATGCATTGGGCCTTTAACTTGGTTTATTCAAAATGATCACATAATATGTAGTTAAATTAGAGGCTAGAAATTAAATTGGGGTCCTAAATTTTTTAGGCTCTAGGAGACTATTTTAATAGTTGGGCCTTAGAGCCGGCCCTGCTATACCTCCTCCTATTTAAAAGATCAAAGTTTTTACGTATCTCACAACAATCATAGTCTCTGCAAATTCTTCACCGTCGAGTAAATTTAATAGATTAATGTATTATGTCTTTAGTTATTTAAAATAGTACTACACTTGTCATAGAGAAAAAAAATTAGAAAGTGGGATTAAAAGGGAGAGATGATGAAAATAAATAGTTTAATTTGTGTTTTAATTTTACACAAAGACAAAAATATAGCTAGAAGGAGAATGTGTGTGTGTGTGTGTGTGTGATAGTGATATCTAATGTACATTATTTTTTGCACTTTTTCAACCTTATTATATTTTTTTGTCAAATTTAATTTTGTGTGTCTTTGGGCTAGACTTTTAGACCCAAATCATTTAACTAAGATTTTTTTTGTTGGTTGAAATTTTAATAGAGTTTTTTTGTTGGACTTAATTTTTATAAGTTTAAATTTGGGAAAAACAGAAGTTGATTTAAAAATTTAGACTTATTTGAGATAAAATACATTAAGTAAACTTATTTGGCCTTATTACATTTTTGTGAAAAAAAATACAAAAAGATCATTCAATAAAAGTAATAAAAGGTGCATGGTGGAAACTGTTTCTCTCTCTCCCTATCTGTTACTCTCTCACTCTTTCTTCCCTATTTTCTCTCTTCAATGTGTATTCAAGACACAATTACTCTCTCTCTCTTTATCTCAATTCGAACTCGACATTCTCAAACGTTGTTATATTGATATTAAAAAAAAGATACAACGAAGATCATAATTGATTAATAATTTTTTTTTTTAAATATATAAAAATTTGACATAATCAAATATCAACGTTATACCAAACAATTATTTTAACATAATCGGATATCAACGTTACACCTATCAGTTATTGAATGTGGCCTAACCTATTAGACGAATGATCTATACAAAAAATTATTTGGGTGAACAAAACATTTAAGATATGTTCTATATTATTGAAATGAAGCCCTGTTAATTTTTTTATTTTGTTATGATTAAAATCCTCCGATTCCATGACTAGGGTATACATTTGAGGATATTTTAGTATTTTGCATGTGTAACAAAGTGTGAAATATGAAAAGTGTACAAAACTTTTTGGGCAATATTCTAGATTCGGATCTCCTTAAATTTATTTTTTTCTCAATTCATTCAATCAATAGTAAATTATCTCATATGTATTGGTAACGACCCACTTATATATAGTATGGTTGATTGATTTGTTTTGAGTAATTTATCTTTAAAAAAAATATTATAATCGTATCGGTGTAAGTTAAACTTGATATTTCCGTACAAAGAATAACTATGGAACTGTTGACGTTGGGTTTAGGTTCAAATCGGATGGATCTATCAGTTTCATTAAATAAGGAAATCAATAAGAACATGACTAGGGCTGTTAATAAATCAGATTTTGATCTGAAT